TCATGTTGAAATGATTAAAAAAACCCAAAAGAAAAAAAAAAAACTAGAATCAAAATTAAATTTCCTTTTTTTGCTTTAGAAATTCCAAAATTTCATATTTGAATTTTGATTTTTTAAAAATATTTTTTCATTAATTATTTTTAAATTTGAATCCACTTATATATTTTAAAAATATATCATTGATTTTTTTAAAATTTTTAAAAATAAATTTGCTTGGTTTGGGTTTTCAGAAAATTCTAATTTTTTGTTTTTCGCATTTTATTTTTATTTTTATTGAATTTTTTAAAATATTTTAAGCAATTTTTTTTTTAATTTTTAGACCCACCTAATATAAATACATTTAAAAAGTATAGTTTTTATGAAAAAAATCTACTAAATACCAAAAATATAAAAATTCAGTATATTTTTCATACTTTTGTGTATTTATTAATTTTTTAAAATATTTTTCACAAATATTTACTTTTTAGATACATCTAAGTAAGATACATCTAAAAAAGTAAAAAAAAATGATTAAAATATTCACTAAAAACAAAAACACAAGAAAAAAACCTCAATTTTCAAAAAATATAATTAAAAAAATTCGAACTAAACACACTGAATATTATTTTTGTATTTATATAACTAACCAATTATTAATAAAAGTGAAAAGAAATTTATAAGAAGGTTGTATGTAATTTTTTTTTTAAAAAAAAAAAAAAATCTCAAATTCCCGAATGGGTACCGTGCCCTAAAAAAAATCACCACTGTGCATGAAGAAGACCATTCTGTACTTTGTGAATCCCATATGGGGTATACATACACCCCGATACACATTCAACATGGAACTCCGTACACATTACGAGGCCTAGACATGGATGATTCGTGGATCTGACAGTCAATTGTAGCCCATTTGTTTATTCTATGAGATCTCCCAAGCATCTACGCTCAACAGGTAAGACAATGCATTCTTTTGTCATTTTTGTTTTATTGTTGTTATATTTAAATATAATTTTGTTTCAGGGTTTTATGCTAAATTGACTTGATTTGTTTGTTTGTTTGCAATCATATCACATACATAGTTTACTATTTCATTGGATAAATTGTAAGGGTGTCAACAAATTTTGTAAGTTTTTGGGTCTCTTCTGTAAATCATGTGTTTTGTACAATTTTCAATATTATATGCATTGGGGTCAGTGATTGATAGTATATTTATATTTGTTGGTTCTCTTTTAGGGACGTGTTATTTGCAAAAGTGACACAATCCCATTAGTTTCTAATGAAATTGGGAATTTTTATTTTTATTTTTATAAAAAGAAAGGTATCTGAATCTGATTCAGTTCAAGACTATATATATTTTTAAAACAGAAAGAGATCTGAATCTGACTCAGTTCAAGGGTTGAAAAAAAAAAGACGACCCACTGCACGAAGCAATATATATACACAACCTTATCGTTGAGTCAAATCGTGCTTTTAGACTCGGCGAGGGTGATTAGACTAAAAAGAAAACAGTTTTATTCTTTTGGTGAAAAGTGTTATTGTTAATACTTAAACTAATGGCCTTATTTTCGTAAGCCATAATCCTATTGTGTAATGACTAAATGTTTTCAATTGTAATAAAAAATAAACCTAAAGAATCCTAACTAATCATCCCCAACTTTCCAATCATTTTAGAGGCTGCTCGATAAAACTGAAAATTAAGTATGGAAAATTCACTGTTGAAATAGTGGGGGTCAAAATGTGCAAAGCTATGCAAAACTGGTCTATTTTAAAAATCTTGATAATAAAAATTTTGACGACATCTAAAATTTTACCTGGACCCTAAAATAGCTTCTCATTATTGAAATAACTTCTCATTATTTCTAATTGTTACATAAGTTGGTGGGTGATTGATCATACCACAACAATCTTAAGTTTAATCCAAGTACCATATCATTACGAAATTGATGATGTTTATACTGAATGTCTATTTTCCACTATCTTACACACAATCTTGTTTGCAAACAATGATTTTTGTCACTCCGGGGCAAGTAGTTGATGAAAATTGACTATATTCTCCACAGTTGTCTGTCTGCTTTGTTAAGGCAGTTGTAATCATCAGTGATTTGGAAAAGGATGTGACAGAATTAATGTTAAAATAATAAGACCCGGTACTGTTAGTTTCTGATATAATTCTTTAGAGTACCTAGCAGAAAGATTACCCTTGATTCCTTGCGTTTCTGGTGTTTCATTGTGCGTTTGTTGCGGTTGGCTTAGCTGCAGTTGTATAGGTACATGTAAGTCATATCCATTGCTGCAACCATATGGTTTGAAGGAACATCTGTTTATGTCATTTGCTCCATAAACCTGAAACAGAAATTCTTAGGCTTTGTAGAGAACGACTTTCACATTGGATGAATTTGTAAATAAAATCGAGTATATAAGTTCTTTATTTTAAGTTGACATTTAAAGTCAATACAAAGAGTCGGTACCTTTTTATGTAATTCTGCATTTTCTCGTCGCAGGACATTAACCTCCGTATACAATTTCATATTTTCTTGATGACTAATAACTCCCTGTAGTGGAATCAGTTGAAGTTAGCTACTCTGAAGTAAAATCGGCCCTTAAACAGAGACTGGTACTACTTGTGGTAAAATTTTGAGAAGACGTGGTGGTTTAATTCTTGTATTTCATCGGTTAAAATTTGGTGCTGCAGAAGTCAAAAACCAAATAAGGATCACATAAGTGTTTTCTATTTTGTAACTTGAATATCACTGAATAATAAATTGCATAGCATCTAAATTTTTTGTACCTTTTTTGTTCGGATACCCTTTAAGCTCGTTTCCAATTGGCCTTCCAGATTTTGCAGATCTTCCATACTCAAATCTGAAAGTTCTTCTCCCGTCAATTTTCTGAAATTATTATCACAGTGGAAGTGTAGGTGAAGTTCTGTGCTTCTATAGGTGTGTCCTCAAATGGTTTATACATAAAATATTTTATTTTGTGATGCACAAGGATTTTGTACTTTATTGCATCATCTTTTCACTGGTTTGTGCACAAAGGATAACGCCAGAAGTCAACCAATTTAAAGTTTTCAACTGCTATTAGTTTGAAGTCCATGCGTTATAAATGGTGATTCTTTAAATGCTTGTAGTATTTTTTTTTACTGTATCTACACATTAAGTAGTATAATAAGAGGAAACATTATAATCAATGTTACTTGGAATGTCAATCATTTGGAAGAGTGAGAACATGGTACATACTATAGAACATGAGGGTATGCTTATGTAGATCACATTAGTGGAATGGATTAATCCACCTCCAAGTGTGAGACTGATTATCAACTAACAATAGTACATTTAATCAAATGTAAAATGCATGTTTACATACCTTTGAATTTTTCTCATGGTCAAATTAATTATTAAATGCACATTTCTATATCTCCAATATAAGTTGAGCCCATAGTTGTCAAATCAGGATTTGAATCGTGAATCGAAATGGTCTCGTACCGAATCACGAATCGAATTGAATCGTGAATCATAAAGATTCGGTCACTTTTTCTAAATTTCTTGGGAAAATATATCTACACACATGGATGTGAAATATATCTTATGAATATGAAATATTTAGATTTAAATCAATAAAAATGTTGTTTTGAATGATAATTATGTAGTTTAATAGGTAAGAAGTTAACAAAGGTTCCTATGTAAGATCACCATCTTGCCTTTTTTCTTTTTTAGATATTTTTTATCAACCATTCTTAATAAAGACAGTAAACAAAAACCAACTCTCAATTTTCAAAATAACAACAATTTGACAACGATATTAATATTTGGACAATAAGTATACATACTTTTTCCAAGTAACATTGACCAAATAATAAGAAAGCATTATTTAGGATATTTTATTTTAAAGTCTAAAATATTTTCAAATGTATAATTGACCTCGCCCATGTAATATGCAACTATATTTAATTTAATAAAATAGCAATAGATAATTCATGGTGTAAGTTATTTTAATCTTAAACATCTTTAGAAGATATATTGTGATTATTTAAAGAAAAAAATAAGAATAAAGGTTATGTTGGGTTTGACAGAATTTGATTGGATCCTATTAAAAACCGCATGATCACTAAAATAACAACAAATCAGGTACATATATTGGTTAATGCTATTAAAAGTTGTTATGTCATTTTCAATAAAAATATAGAGAAATAAAAAGTAAAAAATATATCATACTTGATAGTTTCAAGAATTGCATGAATCGTAAAAAGTGAATCGAATCGTGAATCGATTGTGAATCATGTGATTCACTAATAGATTCACTCATAGATTCCTATCGATTTTGCAAAAATTACGAATCGAATTGCGAATCGTAAGATTCTGATAACAGAGGTTAAGCCTATTGGTGCGATATGGATCCTTTTCTTTAGATATTTTGCTTGGCAAAACTTCACTCTTTCAACGTATTAATTCATTATAACTCGTGTTTTTCTCATAAGAAAATACTAAGGCCTTTGGGGAGTAAACATTTTAGCCAAAAAGCCAAAAAGTCACTATAAATTGTCACATCACTCTCTTTACTTTTCTGCATTTCTTTTCGTAAAAATCCAAAAAGTTACTAAAATAACTTGTTCCTAAACGAGGCCTAAATGGGAAAAAAATTATCAAATCACTAAATTTTGTGTCTTGTCTTGTGTTTTGGAATGGAAATGTACCATTTCTGGAACATTTGTTCCGAAAGGTAGAATACTAGGGTAGTACTAGTAGTGTTTCCAATCAACTATGAGCTTTAACCCTTTCCCTTAGCCAATAGCCTTTAATTTAACATCAAAACTTGAAAATATTTTCCAAAGATTCTAGAACACCTTTTATGAAACTTTTGCTAGCTATTATCTAAGTAGCATAGACATTGGCATGTGACACCGACAAGGCACAACATGGACATTATTACCACGGAGAGATTCATCACGTAGGTTGTATTCAGAGGGTTCAAGAAGTGTTGCCGAAGAGTCTGAGAAGTGTCCGATATTATGAATTTAAAATTTTTAATTGTGACACATTAAAGAAGTGTTGGATATGCACTCTTTTAGGAGTGTCTTCATAGTGTCATGTCCGCATGACAACTTCCTCCATAAAAGCGTCTGTATGTCTTAGGCTGTTAGTGTTGAAAGCAACCTAACCTCCGTCCCTTTCAATCCCATAGCATACAACCTTTCTTCTACCCTTATAGACCCTATGCGTAGAAGCCTTCCTTGTCCCAAACCCACCATAAATTCCAATTGTAGATTGTAGTATTCCAAGTTTTCTAAAGCTGTACTACATCATGCTGCAACTAAGCATAAATTGTTGGACAATCTTCACCGTATTTAAAAGGAATTAATTCTGTTGTGTACAAAACAACAACAAGAATAAAAGAAATAGAGAAAAGGAGAGAATATGTTTGATTACAAAAATCAAACTCAAAATAAAAATAAATAAATAAAAACCACAGATTTTATTTTGTTACAAAAACAAAATTAAAATCTGAATAAATAAACAAATAAAAAACCAGAATAATAATTAAACAACTTACTTGATTAATTTCTTTGAATAATTATTTGATCAAGTCCAGTGTTTGACACTGTGTCCTTAAGACAGATTCGTCCTCTCCACGGTGCTTTCAGAATTTGGACGTCTATCTCCCAGGATAAAATGATCTACTACAAACAATAGCAGCACTACAAATTGTTTGCCTTACGAACACACTAAGTGTTTATACTCTCTCTGACAAGAAAATAATGCAGCAAAATGAAGAATAGAAAACAGAAGTGAAATACGAAATTTCTGAATCCAAAATATGAAATGAGGGTGGTCCTATTTATAGATGTGAAGGTGACTCTTTGATTTGAATTGAACAGGTATCATACCTGTTGGGTTTTGAATTCAAACAGATTCTAAAGCTGTACTACATCATGCTGCGACTAAGCATAAATGTGGTTTGATATTGACATGTTAAAAATGTATAATAAGCATATAATATTTTGTTTTTGCACGTGCAATGTAATACAATTTTGGCAATTTTATGGTTTACATATGATCATTGATCACACATTTTATGCGTGATCATACTTATTGAAAATAAGATAAAGAAAAAGGTGATTATACCTGTGGCTTTCTTGTAAGTAGTTCAACTGTTGCCTTAAGCTTTTTGCCTCCCTTTGCCAAAGCTAGAAATTTCAAAAAATTGAAAAGCAAATGTGATAGACCTGACTTAAGCAATCTGTCAAAAAAATTACATTTGTTTTATTTTATTTATTTATTTATTTATTTTTTTGTAGGCATTCTTAGACTTTTGAAGGGTTTGAACACCTTACTCCTGCCTTTCTATTGGGGTAGTGTGGATCTTGATAAGCTATGAAGCATAGACATGGACATGGGACACAAATACGACACGACATGACACGGATACGTTAACGACGAATTCCAAAAAAGTAGGACATGGACATAGTTCAGATAAGCCACAAATAATTATATCTTGATATTATATTATCTAGGAACATATTATATTGTATAGTTTATATATGTTCATATTATATACAAAATTAAATAATTACTTTACCAACGGGTGGCATGTGCAATTCAAATAAGTAAGAATAAAAGAAAATAATAATGAAATTAATATTATAATGTGTACCTAGCTTAAGTGGTATGAGTTCTCTTACCTTAATCCCATGGTCATGGGTTCAAGCCTCGCCCACCTCTTTATGTATCTTTTTTTTAAAAAAAAAAAAAAAAATACTGACACGTGACATGAGGAGAGCAAAGGCTTCATTGTACCAAATGAGGCCTTCACTTAATAATAGATACTAAGTAAATCTTGTATCTAATTGTCTTACATGAATTTTTAGATTACTGGATCATGATAGTCAAAAATCAAACAAACTATAACAAACATATATAATTGCAACATTTCCCACATCCTCCTAAGTGATCTGCTAATACATGTACGTATCTTTTTGATTTTTCATTTGATTTTATGTGAAACTTCTATAGGATTATTCTTAATAGCTATACATTTTTTTAAGGGTATAAAATATTTATGTCAAATTCTCAAATTTTGAAAATCATGTATTAGAAAATTCCCAAGAAATGTTGGTCTCATATTTATTTTTTAGTGATAGACATGGCTAAGAAGTAATGGAAAGTAAAATGAATGTTGGATACGTGTCTGAAATTAAGATATATATTTTTTTTAATTATGGACATTGAAAAAGAGTATCGGACATGTGTTTGAGGAGTGTCGGTGTCCGTGACTTTATTAGTAGTGTTCTGCGCTTCTTAGTTGATAAGTACTGAACACTAACCTGAAGAAAATTATGAACAAACAGAGATATTTCATTTTATTGAAAAACTACATTTCATACTTACAACTTATCTATATATAGAGATCAATGCAGATCACCCATCTTGGTTAGATGTTATGGATTCCCTAACACTTTCTCCCATCAAAATAGAAAAAGAGGAAAACATGTATCAATTTGATGTATTTTATAGTTTTAAGTGGTTCTAGTATGAGTTTCATTTTCTGTTAAGTGTGACTACCCATTGGATGGTAAGGGTTCTATAAAATTAGAACTGTCTGTCAAAAAATTTTAGCTTTTAAATCAATTTATTAAAAAACAAAACCTAATTGAATATCCTGTACTAATGCAGGAAAGCTTGCAGGGTAATAGGTGAGTTGCTCATGAAAGAATACCTTGGCTTCTGAATTAGGACTCAAAAGCTGATGATTCTCCTGCTCATTGTTGTATCGTTCAAATATTGATCTCATGCTGATAAGGTAAAGTCAGAATATTAGCCGCTCAGTTTGTCAATATTTACTTATGAACTTATAATACAAGAACTTCATTGCATTGTATCATATGAAGAGATCATTAGTAACAGACTGAAAGATCTCAACATTTTTTGTTTTTAAATTGCTTACATTTCTTATTACTAGATCATAGTTGTGTGGCATTTGTGCATGCAAGGAAAAACTATTGAACAACGAGTTTGGTTTTTTTCCCTGAAAGAAATAAAAAGTAAAGCAAAGAAATGTGTTGCGCTTGTAAGATGGTCATTCAAAATAATATTGATTTTTCTCTGCTGGAAAAACATCAAAAAATATTGTTTACTTCCATAGTGTAAACTTTACAATCTACTGAAGAATTACCAGGTTGCATGTTTTAAACTACATAAGCCTGAACAAGAGTTCCTTCTATCAAGAATGTCACTGGGGAGGAAAGGCTGTAAATCTGAAGTTAATGGCTATTGACTTGAGCTCATCGATGTATTTAAGTTTATTTTTTTCTTTCATTTTTCATTCTCTCTCTCTCTCTCTCTCTCTCTCTCTCTCTCTCTTTCTCGGCAAATAGGCAAAGGCTAGAGTTGCAGTATGTTAGAGCCAAGATGCAGTGAGAAGTAGGCAACAGTTCCTACACTTTAATAGCTAAGTGCAGGTAAAGAAGTTAGTCAAAGAGAGTAGGACATGCTTGGGTATTTGGAATATAGGAACAGTAATGGGAAAAAAGGGATGGATATAGGCTATGTTTGGTTGTAGGATTTGTTGTGAGAAATGGAAAGGGAAAAGGAAATGTAATCCCACTCTTTGTTTGGTTATAGTGGAAAACACAAGGGAAAAGAAAGTGAGGGAAATGCAATCCCACTTTTTGTGTTTTAGGTTCACTTAGGCTCCTTTCTTTCTCCATTTCCCAACTTGACCAAACATAGCTTGGAATTTGAATCCTATCAATTCTTTCTCATTTTCTTTCTATTTCCTTTCCTTTTCCATTTCCCTTATCAAATACTCTAACCAAACACAGCCATAATGGATCAAAGATTAGAATGAGAAATGATGGAGGTAATACATATGCAATCATATAATTTGTAATGGCATATAATTGTGTACCTTGTAATAGCAAGCATATGTTTTAAAAAGAGGGATAGATATTTAAGTAACATTCAAAAGTAGAATGAAATGCTAGTAAAATATATATATTTTCTTTCTATAAAGGTTGGTAGAGGACTATGTATGAGACTGTAAGTAATAGTAATGAGAACTTAATTTCGCAATATAAATTAACGGTGTTAGATATGTGTATTAGGAGATAGAATATAAATTAAAAATAGAAGGGGAACTAGGTATGGAGCTTGAAAAAATAAAATTTAGTACTCTTTGAAAATAGAATGATCAAGGAAAGACAATGGATTTCAAACATTATGTGGTGTGAGATGTCTAGTTGAGTTAAAAGAGTAGCAAAAAGAGTTTTTGGAGAATCGAAGGGAGTAGGCTCTCATCTAGAGACACTTGGTGGTGCAAAAAAGAGTTCAAAGGGCAATAAAAAAGAAAAATAAATGAAAAGGGAACAGTTATAAACATTAAATTATGTCTATATATATTTCTTTGCTTGCTTAATGTCCATGAGTGTGTTGGTACATAGATCCACACTACATAATATGTTACTTGCTTGTTTGCTTGTTTATGTGTGTGACATCTGAAGATTGGATGTTCAGGTTATCCTATTATATCTATTTGCAGCAAGGAGAAATTCACTAACAAAATTTGAATGTCAAAGCTTATTTCAGTTAATAATAATTGGGTTAACATACGTTTGAATTTATTGTTATTTACTATAAATTTTTTATTAGGAGGAATTAAGTAGACTAAAATTTAAGGAAAAAAGTGCTTGGTTTATTGGCTGAATTGCATTGCTGAATTTTCTAATTGTCTTGAGGGTTAGGAGCATCTTGAAGTAATTAAGCAATGAAGTTTAGTATTCTCCTTTATTTTTTTTGATCGGCAAATAAATCTTTATTGATGACACATACAAAGTATGATTGGATACATCAATAAAGAGGAGCTTAGAGCTAACACGAAACTCTAAGCGCCAGTTGGTGAGGAACCAACAAAAGAAAAACAAAAGGTGCTACTACAAAGACAAAAAATGCTACCACCAAAAGCCAGGTAGGATCCTAATAGGCTTTCAACCCATTACCAATCAACCCATGTGCATGCAACCCATTGACCCTACCACATTGACATTCGTCCCAATGAAACACCCAGCAAGAAACTTGAAAGAAGACAGAAGCACCCAGCAAGTACTCAGCTAAGCAAACCATAACAGAAGCAGTCCAGCAATGAGCTACCCAGTAGCAGACTCCAACTTCAGACTTCTGAGACCCACAATCTGCAGAAGTAGTCCAGCAATGAGCTACCTGTTGAAATACAAGCATAACAAAACTAACTGCAGCCCACAACCAATGATCTGTTGAAATACAATCCTCCGAAATTCAGGGCATAACAATCCAACACTTAGCGACATTGCTGCGACACAACAAAACCTGCAAAACTGGAGCGCATAGGAACCAGAAAAACACAGTATTGCAGAATTCTGCAAACCAGCAAACACAGAACCAGCAAACACAGAACCTGCAAACCTGCGAACCACACTTAGACTTTGATGCTGTCGAGATTAAACATTATGTCCTCGACAGAGTACTGCAAACCTCCACAGCTAGGCTTGCACCATAAAGCTATCCTCACTTTCACCAACTCAGCCAAATCAAAACCTTCAACACTCTTTTGGTGAAAAAGACAATCGTTCCTAGCTTTCCAGATTGACCACACAACTGCTACGGGGACAACTTTCCACAATGGTTGGATCTCCTTCTTAAATTTATATCCAGTCCACCAATGCAGCAAACCCTCTACTGAACCTGGAACCACCCAGACCAGATTCCACCATTTAACCATGGCTGACCATAATTTCCAAACCACAGGACACGACAGCAACAGATGATTCAAAGACTCCTCCTCTGTTTTACACAGCAGGCACACTGTGTTTGCTTCAGGATTCAACACACCAATCCTTTTCAAAAGCACAGAAGTTTTAAGTCTTTCTTTCCAAGCTAACCAGCTGCAGAATTTTACCTTAGGTGGAGCAGAGTTCTTCCACAACATATCGGTGACACTTACGACTGGACCTTTTGACAGCATCCACCTCTTCCAAGACACACCCACTGAGTAGGATCCTGAAGGATTTGCCATCCATAAACAAGAGTCCTCTGCTTGGTCTGTAAGAACAAGTGTGCCCCTTAGAACCCCTTGCAACCGAGCGACCTCCTCCTCCTCCCAAGCAAACAGAGATCTACTAAACAGAAATTTCCACTCAAGTGCCGACCCTCTATTATGATACATCTGCGAAAGTGAACAGCCCTTTTCCACTGACAGCCTATATAGTCTGGGAAATTCCTCCTTAAGGCATAGATTAGTTAACCACTTATCCTCCCAAAAAAGAAGTCTTTGCCCATTTCCTACAAGAATTTTGAAATTAGATAGATAGTGCTCCATCAGTTCAGGACTAGATGCCCCAAGATGAACAACAATATTTAGGTCAATAATGCTTAATTTGAAGATCAAGAAGGCGCAGCAGTATTGTGCATTGTAGCAGTGTCTGGGGTGTTTTTGGTGTCTGGGTTAGAAGGAGCAGCAGCAGCATTGTGCTTTGTAGCATTGTGGCAGCAGCAACATGCTGCAGCAGCAGTGTGGGTTTTTTCTTCTTTTCTCTTCCTTTGGCTTGTGTTGGTTCCTCTCCAGCCTTTGTAGTTGTGCTAGCTCATGATTGAGTTTTATGCACTTCCCTTCTTTATTGATGTAATCTCATATGAAATGAATGTTGTCGTCATCAATAAATTTTCCTTTTCGCTGATAAAAAAAAATAGAAGATCGAGAAGGCTTCTTTTTCCCTGATGTAGGCTTGAGTTGGACTCTTTGCTCTTTTTCTTTTTCTTCATGAAATATTGTTGGCACATAAATTTCAACTAAATTTATGACACGTATAGAGCCTATGATAGGAAGGTTGTAGGTGATCACTTCCTAAAAAAAAATCAATATAATCCGTTGAAGTATATAAATAAAACGACATTGTATCTCAACAACGTTATTCAAGATACTCAAATGACACGTAGAGCCTACGAAAGATGACACCTGTAGAGCCTACAACAAGGACACCACACAGGATGAAACCCCAAAGATCAATCCGGTTAATCAGATATACGATTAATCAGCGTTATTATTCAAAATTCAAATGGCGCTATCATTCAATTTGAAATTTAAATTGAAGATGAGGCATTCCTATCACCTGATGACCCTCTATAAATATGAGGACCATCACACAAGACGGGGGATCAGAAAATCAGAAGTGAAAAGATCAGAGAGAGAGAAAGAAATTGAGAGCTAAAGAAGTCGTTACAAGAAAGAAGAAGATAAGCCTAAAGAACTCAAGAGCCTATGCTAATGGCGATGAATAGGTAAAGGATTCCAAACCCAAGAATTGTATTTTGTATTCGAGGGTTCAAAACCCATAACAATTTCAATAAAATATTTATTTTTCTTAAATTGCCTTTTGTTGTTTATTTTGTTCTTCGTTAATCGGAGGTTTCATTCGTCTAAAATGTGTAATTAACAATCTGAAATACAGATCGGAAATAAGAACTTGCTATTCAAATAATCAACACTGTTTAGTCCAAAAACTAAACAGTGGACATTTGTAACATAAAATTTTGAAATGTGTTGAAATACTTCATGTTTTAAAATTTGTGTCTACAAATATCATTATAATTTGTGCATATTTTCTCCTTTTTATGCATGAATTTTTATTTATAGAAGCAAGTTATTGGATAATGATAGTGAAAGAAGAGATCTAATGCCAACTGATTCTAAAAGTTTAACAAATTTTCCTTTTCCTCCTATGCTTGTTATTGGAGTGTAAAATACATAAAATACTGTATTATCTATATGCTATATTATTAAGTGAATACCTTTATTGGTGTTGATGCAAAAATGAAGCTATGTAATGTTAAATCTTATACCAAAATTATCCAAAAAGATAGTTTTACAATTGCTTAAACTGTACCCATTAGTAACTATTTAGGAAAAGAATATTAGAAAACTTACATCTCAAAATAGCCTAGTTTTCCAGTCTCCCTAAGCCACCTCACCCTCTACTTTGTTTTGCGCACACATGATGTGAGAGCGTTGCTACTAGTCATCCAAATAAGGGTACTAGCGATAGTAAGAAAACTCTCTAACTGTTTACAGCATCTATTGCATTGCCATTGCATTCTTTTTCACAATTCAATGGAAATTCTCATCACCTAGAAGCATAACTCATCAAATTTCTACAGACCTTAGCCTATTTTATACAATTTTAAACTTATTATAAAATATGCATCACTACTCCGCTAAACCCTAAGCAATGTTTCCATAGTCATCTTTTATTGTTTGATAAAATTTTCATTTAGCATAACCTTAAACTAGATAGTTTTCTATTTCTATTGGCATTCAGGTGCATGCTTGACTATGATCTTTCAAAAAGTTTACAGAACTGATTAGACTTTCACTAGTCATCACAATTCACAACTTATAGTAGATGTTAGTCCATTGTAAGGCAAATAGTAGATTTAAATCCTAAATCTGTGAAGTATTGAATTTCCTGTTAAACAAGAAAACAATCAAAACAAAAACATAGAACAAGTAGATACAAGCATTTAGGAACAACATAAATAATGGGATATCAATTTTCAAGATGCAGAATTTTAGAGAGAGAGAGAGAGAGACCTAGGGCTTGCAAATTCATAGAGCCTCCCAGAACTGGAGATGACAATCACTCCAACTTTGGCATCACAAAGAATTGATAGTTCCTTGGCTTTCTTAAGCAATCCATTTCTGCGCTTTGAGAAAGTCACTTGCCTGCTCGTCGAATTGTCAATTCTTCTGATGACAATTTTTCCTCTTCCCATCTCTTCTTATTGAATTATCCTAGGGTCTTGTCTCTGGTTTACTCTGCCAGATCCAAACATACATCTTATAAATTGATCAAAACTTATTATTGATGAAAATTAGATAAAATGTTGTATAGCATTCAGTTACAAAAATGGACCATGTTGCACTTAATAATGTAGAGAGAGAGAGAGAGTACTGGTTATCAGTTTTTGATGGACGGCGGCAGCGGATGCATTTTTCGCTTTATAAGGAATGGCAAAAGCTGATTAGAAGTAAGAAGACCTGTTCTTTGGGAAACATGGAGCAGTTCTGTAGTTTGCATCCAAAAACCACTTGATGGTTTTCAGATGTGGAAATGTGATGTAGAAAGTTAGGCATACCTTGGCGAGTACATGAACATCAGGTAATTGCCTCACAAAGAATACAAAAAAAAATATTAATAATTCTACACTGACCACAAATTTCTTTTCACATTTTGTTTTCCATCTCACGTTTCACAACTGCATTGGAAACGTACTTCCACCACTCATGTATGTTTGCAGTGCAGCTGTAATAGATGAGATGTTTGTTTGCAATGAAGTTGTAACACATGAGATGGTAAAACCTAATATGGTAAAAAATTATGGTCATTATAGTATTATTAAACAAATAAAGTCATGAGAAGAGGGATGCTATATATCATTTTAGGAGTATTTCACCGAACCTTTTCACCTCTTATGTGGCTTGTCATGTGGTATAATAGATTCTATTTTTTTTTTGAATATAGTGAGTCTTGCATATTGATGCATATTGGTGAATCAATAATGTAGGATGACCATGTATTCTTACCATGTTGTGTTTACCAATTTATGTGTCAATAATATATTGCTTTAATGAGTCCCACCACTCATGTCATGACCCATTAAACCAATATACTATTTATTGACACATAAGGTGGTAAACACAACATGATAAGAATATATGGTCATCCTATCATTATTGTTGGTGAATTATTTAATAAATTACATAGAATGTTTCTCTAGATCAAGTTGTTCGTGGTTGTTATTGTCGCTTGTGTTCATTCCATAGACCCGTTTGTGCATCACTAATATACATTACATTTGTTGTGTGGATCCATGTAAAAGGTGAAAAAAGAAAAACAGTGAAATGACATGTTTTTTAATGAGAAAGGTCATCTTTTACCACCTATGTGTACTCCCTTCAATTCTCAAGAGTAGTGGTATGATGACCAATGCACATTCTTCACTAACATGTAAAGGCCTAATTATGTTCATTTGAAAATTGTGACTATATACAAAATGCTTTTGACTACAAAGACTACTTCTAACAATACTCAACAAGATCAATCAAACACAAATTGGTGTTGAACTTTTGTGCATACTGCATATAGCAACTAGCTTTAGAATTAAATTCTTTAGTATAGGAACAATGGAAAATATTGTTATCAGTCAAGTGCATCTTTTGATGCTTTGGCAATACTTCACAGCAAATGCTATGTACCATGAATTTGTGCCCTGAATTCTATCCCAAAAATGAGGTGGATGGTGTAAATTTAAAGTTGGTGTGATGTGGGTCACACTTAGAATGATTGTGGTCCATAGATGTACTTTTCTATATAGTATTATTGATAATTCACTCTAAAGATTTGGAGATTCAGTATAGAAGACCCACATGTTGGGGAATATCATGGGTTTTGAGGACTAACGAGTTGACGTAGTGAATATAGGTGAAGCTCACACAAGCAACTTAGAGACTGATGTCAGATGAGGTAAGAGAGAGCGTAGCTTTCATTCACGAAAGCAAGTTAGGTAAGCTAACCCCGGACTTTTAGAACCACAGATACTATGGGTGACTTTTATTACTATTATTATATATACAATCAAAACTTTGATACAAGATCCATCCTATGGGTCATTGACACGTTGACAACAGACACTTGGGTGTGTTTTTACTTTACTTTTGGCTCTTTGTTTTAGAATCTTGAGAGAGCTTGTGCATAAATTTCATTCTAATTTTGACAATAATTATATATTAACATTAGTATATTGATTGTTATGTCCATGTACCATAACTGTAGGTTAGTTTACATGCTTGTCAATTATGAGATGTTGAGATCTTGTATTTAGCTAGCATGCAAAGACCAAAGAAGCCTTTGTGGGGGTGTTCATATGTGGATTCTCTACCTTGTACCTTTTATGCAACAATTAACGGTAAAACACTAGAGGGGTTGCAAACTTGCAAGTTTATCAAGCATTTTATGATAGTTTACATGTGGGGACAAAAAAGTACCCCGAAATTGAAATGTGTAGACTTGATTTATTCTAGGCGTGGTCTGCATTGCATCAAGTTTGAATCTACACCATACACTTCATTTTTGGAGTACATTTTTGGGGTACATAGTTTTTTCACATAAGGTATGGCAAGTTTGTGCATGGATAAAATGTGTGATAGATCTTTATTTGTGAATTGCTTGTTTTGGATTGCACGATTATGTATGCCACCCCGTTTTACTGATTCATGTAAAACCTTTATGTATCATTTCTTGAAATGGTCCTGTATTTTATAGGCTATAGCTTTACTCACTATTTACTCTTTCTATTTCTTTATTTTTTGTTTTTTCCGAACATTCACCACTAGTTACTGAGATCAAAACAACTTTGTGATGTAGCATCAAAAGGTGTTGGTTTGGTGGCAAGGCCTTGGGTCTTGGGTCTTGGGTCTTGGGGGTGTGCTCTCTCCCAGGTTTAGGATCAAAATCTTTTAGGTGCTTAACAATTCCTTTGGACCATCGGACTAGAAGAAAACCCTTGAATTAACCATGGTGCACTTGCGGGAAACTCCTTGCCAAGGGCTTGTGCACCCCTGGAGATTAGTTGGACTTTGATTTGGATACACCATCGCCAATCAAAGAAAAAAGGAAGAAGATGAGAGACCAGAGAACCAATCCCAAATCAATATTCATATCAAAAGTCTAGTGTAGTATCTAAACCATTACATAAAAGCCATAGGCATAAGCACTAACTATGAAACCAAAAGGAATGGGAAGCTAACTAATAAAGAAATAAAATCCTATTAAAAACCATAATTTCTAATTATACGAAGATTCGTATATTCTTCAATTTATTGTCGTCCAATAACTTTTCGATCTCCGTTACTTGTGTTTAAGAAATGGGGGGATTAAATCCTAAATTTCATTATTACCATGGCCAGAGCAGACAGATGGGGATAGTAGGTGGATTGATTATATATGCTAGCATTCTTGTTGTTGTTACATAGGACTTGGTTTCACTCTTAAACATGCAAATAATATTGGAAATAGAGTAACCGTGAGAATGAGAAGTTTGTATATGCTTTGTGGAAATTTTAGTTTGGAAAATAATGTCACTGTATGAATGTTTTTTTGTTTTTCTCACCTCATCTTCATCCACAATTATTTTCTGGATATGGTGTTTGTTGCAAGGATATCAGTATGGTTAAAAAAAAAAAAACTACATTGATGTAGTTGTTGTGGTTCATCTTGCTAATATTTGTCTGTTGTGTGATAAAGAAATGTGATGCAAACGCTGAAAATGGTAAATCTGCTCAGTTTATATTATAGTGTTTTTTCTGGATATGATTAGTTTATGTAATGTACTTGGCAGTGTAAATTATAATACTATTTCACTTGTGGTGGTGGTGCTTTGAGGCCAATTTATCCACCAAAGTCATTTTGCATTGGGTTCTGTTTCAGTATCATAAAGCTGAATTGGCCACAGTTTTCATGCAGTTCTGAGGCAGGTTTATCTGAGTCCACCACCATCTCATATACATATACAGATTACTTGTTAGGTTTTCGTACCAATAGACATGAAGGTAATGGTTTACATGTGTGTTTATTACACTCTATTTGTTTTGGTAGAAAATATTGTTTGGAAAATATTTTTCACATTTTTTGGCTATTGGTGTGACGAAAATCAAAAGTCAATGGCAAATAAGCTTATTTGGGCAGAAAAAAAGTTTTTTATTTTTCAAAGGTGGAAAACATTTTCTGGAGTAAAGTCTTACCAATGCCACCACATTACCACTGCCACCTCCACCATCCCATCACCAAAACCACCACCTCCACCACTGATACTATCTCTAGCACACGAGTGTGAAGATCGTAACCAAATGTAGAATACGTTTTCTAAGGAAAACATTTTCTAGAAAAAGTTTTCTGTAAAATATATTTTCCGCTGTTAATGTGGACTCCATTATATTTGTGTTTAGTAGTATGAAAATATGATAAGTAATCTATTTATGTATAGCTTTAGTCTTCTTTTAAAATTCTAGTAGATATACATGCATATATGCTATGTTGTGTTACTTAAATTTACACACACACACACACATATTTACTATAGATGAGTTGACGGATTTTAGTCATTTAATGAACCATCCCCCAACATGTTGAAGTGAGTTTTGAGTAATCCTCAGACTCAATAGGAAAACTCTTTGGTTCACATCTCTTAAAAAGTGTGTACTTCATATTTTAGTTATGAAGCTTTGTGATCTTATTATGAGTTGTTATGATGATTAAATTTGTGATGAACTTGTTGTGAGGCTTTATGATATTTTGTTTATAAAGAAATTAGTTTTGGTTACGAGACTTTGTAGTGTTTGAGTTATGAACGAATTTAGACTTAGTTATGACTTATATTGGTAGAAATTATCAGCCATGTAGCTGAAGCTTTATGTGCATATTGTATAGACTTTTTTAGGGTGTGTATACTGTATAGTAACACTTCCCAACTCAATATACAATACTGTGCATGCTTGATGCATGTTCAGTGGGAGGACTGCAGGGAAACAAATGGAACATCTAAGTGATGCACGGCTAGTTAATACTGGGACTTCAAACATGCTATACTTCTATTTATACATCTTTGCATAAAAAAAATTGGCAAGAATCTCTTGCCCCACAAGTAGTTTTTGTAAGGCTAAGTTTGTATTGGTGATTTGTGAGAGAAAAAAGAATATGAAAGGAAAAAGATGGGAAAAAAATTGAAGTTGAAGCAAAAAAATTTCCCTGTCTTTTTTGTTAGGTTAATAAAATGAGTAGACAAATAAAAACAGTTATTTATTTATTTTTATATATTATTTATAAAAAATAAGTATCTGCAAATAATTCTATTTCCTCTTTCTGTATATTATCCAAACACAACCTAAGTGCATGTTGAATTTTTTTTTTTTTTGTGTGCAGATCATGAAGGAAAAAAAGCACAGAAGATTTGGAATCTCACACCTCTTGCTGCAAGGAAACAAAGCATTAATTAACAAGTAAAGAAGGTAAGCTGCTGATTATATATAGGTCTAATAAATTGTATTATAATCAAATTTGGTAATACCTAAAAGTTGTGTTCACACTGAAAAGTTCCAAATCAAATTCTGAAAGATTAATGTTGTTGTTCGGTCATGAATTTTATATTAACAGCTTAGCAATACGAGGAATATCATGGAAATGATTATTCAAAGTTTCACACTTTATACTTAATAATTTAAAATTGTCACACAAATAATTGTAGTACTTTTTTGTTGATAGGAGGATCGTCAAGATTGATTATTTAAAGTTGTGTTCACACTTTGGAGATGAAAATTAAATAGTGATAAAAAAGATTAGTACGTGGAGGGTCATTGAAATTTAAATTTAATAATGCTTTTATAATCAACACAGCATTTGCAAGCTGTAAAAGTTAACATTTCCTTAGCAAAACTAGCTTCTAAGCAAGGTTTTAAAAAGCGGCCGCAACCGTTACGTAACGGTTGTGGTAGTTATCGCCACCCGTCACTACAACAAAAAACACTATTGGCGACTAAAATGGGAATTTTCGTCGCTGAAAGTCATGGAATTGGCGACTAAAATGGAATTAGTCGCCAAAATTGGTCACTTTTGCCGACTAAAAGACTTTAGTCGCCGAATGTAATGGTTTTAGCGCTTCTAAGCAAGGTTTTAAAAAGCGGCCGTAACCGTTACGTAACGGTTGTGGTAGTTACCGTCACCCGTTACGGCCGCTTTTGCAGTGTGATTGAGATTCACAGATGTATCGGCCGTAGCAGCTGATATAGCGGTCGTAATGGTGCCGTAACAGCCATAACGGCCTGTTACGTACCGTTGCGTAACGGTTTTGAATTGCTTCTTTTGAAAAAACACAAAAAAAAAAAAGTTGAAAAATGAGGAAGATAGATAGAGAGAGAAGAGGGAAGATGGAGGAATAAGAGAAAGAGAGAGAGAATAGGGAAGATGAAGAACATGTTATTGATTTGTTGAAATTGTAAGACCTATGCTATTCTATTCAGCCGCTATCACTCAACCATTTTGTTTGTGTGTGTCTATTTATATATTGTTTAAAAATAATAATAATAATAATAATAATAAAATAAAATGTAAAAAACTCAGTTTATAGTTATTTAAAAATATGAAATATATTGGATCAAACTTAAAAATTTATAAAAATTTATCAATATTTATTTTAAAACCCAATAAATATGATCATGGAAAAAAAATGTGCATATCAGTAAGTTTTTTTTAAATTGTGCGAAAAGTAAAAAAATTCACAGTTCCGGTTATCGCAACCGTTACGCTACGGCCTTTACACTCCGCAATCGCAACCGCGCCACCGCCACCGTTACGACGACCACAATCGCTTTTCAGAATCTTGCTTCTAAGATAAGATCCCAAATGTCAAGTTTTCACACTTGTTATGTTAAGGGTTTCATTTAGGAGAAGTTATTCGTAGCCCGATGCGACAATGCTGCAGAGGGCGGATTAGGGACCAGGATCTAGATTTTCTGCCATATTTTTTTCTGTAGTGATTTTGTTGTGATAATTCAATGATTTGTGTTTACACTTGAAAGAAAATGAGGTCGTTTTGAAGTGTAGTGTAAAATAAAACAATCGTACATTTGAATATTATTATGTTTTAATTTTAAATGTGAATTGTAAATTAATGGTTTTTGTGTGTGTGTGTGTTGATGTGCCTTGCTATGGTAAAAATCATAACAAGATCATTGCGGAGAAAGAATGACAGAATCTGAGTATGTAAAGGGCATTTGATAGCATCAATTAATGGTATGGATGACATTATCGCATGAGGTATTGAATAATTTCTGTCCGTTAATTACAATTCGACACAGAAGACTATTATATATCAATTGTTTTTGTCAACGTTTTATATTATCAGAATACATGTCAGGATATTATTGTCGTCACTATTTTTCTTAGCGATTATTTCTAAACATGGAACCAATGTAGAGTATTCAGGTAGACAAAGATAGAAAATAATAACCAAAAATCGATGACATATATTATCTCTCATACTTGACAGAGATTAAATGATGGAACTTATACCTTTCCATATTAAACCTTCCCCACCTTTGAGCTCATTGCCTGATGTAAACACTTCAATACAATTTTCTTTTTGATCAAGTAAATAAAATTTTATTCAAAAAGGCATCAAACAAAGAGAACCAAGAATAGTGTCAAAAATTAAATATTCAAATATTAGCAAAAAGAAGGGTTTGCAACACTTTCCTTGCAACTGTACAAAGTAAAAGTTTTAATAATTAATGTAATATGTGGATTAAGAGAATATATGACTTGATTTGAGCACCTAAAATTTGTTTATCTTAAAACAGAAATAGATGACAAAGAAAAGAAATTTGTTTTAGGTAAAAAGGTTAATGGGAGTTAAAATAGTGGGATTGCAATGGAGAAAAATTAGAAATAAGGAGAGGAAAATGGTGGTTATGTAACTATTGCCTTGAATGAAATGTCCTCTTATACCCTTATGCTGTATTTAAATCATGAATTTGAGTACGGATTTGAAAAGGAAAAAGAGAAAAGATAGGTGAAATGTTCACCTATTTTTTGCCTTTTTCTTTCCAAAATACTACCTGAATTCTTGATCCAAACAAAGTCTTAAAATATTTTAAAGTCTATAACTATAGCAGTTGGGGCATTTAAGAGAAATAAAAATAAAATGATAAAGAGTTTTCTTTTAATAATAGTATAGATAAGTGTATTTTTAGATTTATATACATGCCTACACAAAATTCAAGTATAAATATCTAAAAAAAAAGGGAAAAATATTTGAAGTCCAATAGCTAGCCATTTGGTAAGGCTTTAAGTAGGGCCAAATATATTTTCATACATTCTCTACCCAGCTTCAGATGGGCCACTGCTTGCCCCATTGAAGCCTGTAGCATTTATTAAGTCTTTATTATTATTATTATTATTATTATTTAAAACAATAATTATTATTATAAATGTTTTGGGTATGTTTTTAAAATTTTATTATTACTTATACATATTATGACTATTTGTAGAATGTATGTATAATGGGATGATTCCTTAAATTTATGAAAATCACTTTATTGACTCTGTATTTTGTAAGGGTAAATTACATTGACATCCCTTAAAATTTGAGAAAAATATAATAAGTTACATAGTTTTGATATAATTATATTAAACTCCCTTAAAGTTTTTAATTCACATAACTCTTAGCCTCTTTTCATCAATAATTCCGTAGTTGTATGGATAAAAATTAATGTTGTCATTTCCTTTACATTGAAATATATATTTTCTTTATATATCTTTTGTCATAATTCGGTGTAAGTATGAAAAAATTGTGGGACTACTTTGTATAATGAGATCATCTTAGTTGGGGGGTTGGGTAATAGTTGGTTGATTTATAAGCAAATAAAAAAGGGGTTTTTTTTTAAGGTCCCTGGTATTAACATTTTATAGCAAAAAGGACACAAAATATTTTCATAATGTCTAAGGTCCCTCAAGTTGATCCAGAGAAAATTGGTCCAGAGAAAATTAGTTCAGAGAAAATTCACATCATAGAGAAATTTGGTTCAGAGAAATTCTAAGGACTTTCCAGAGAAATTTTACAAATTTCTCTGATTTGAGAAAGGAAGGGAAAATTAAAAAATTGATCTAGATAAAATTTCAAATACCTGCACTTACATCCATTGTGGTTCAAGGTAAAGCACATAGATCAGCAACAACCCTTCCCATTATCATATGTGTTTTTATAATGTATTTTAATCAAATTTCTCTGACTTCCGAATTTATCTTCAGAGAAATTTTGAATTTCTCTGGAACTGATATTGATGTTTGCAGATTCGTCCACCAAATTTCTCTGAGAATTTCTCTGGACTCCACAACCCAGAGAAAATTCTCAAAACAAATATTTCCAGAGAATTTCTCTAATTTGCTATGTATTTTTTTTGGTGAGAAATCGAACCTTGGGGGCAGCCATTAGGTATTCTTCAGGCAAAAACAATTCCAGCTTGAAAATCCCTCCTTCATAAGGAAACTGTGTTGGACCAAGAATCATGACATTAAAGTACCGCATGTTATCTTCTGAAGGCGACGCACTTGTTCCCGGCGCAGGTTCGTTAAGGAGACGCTGAGTTTCCTTGATGATTCTTTGAGGTAGATTGCTGTTAGCCATTGAAGAAGAAAGTTCGATTGCAGAGTACGCAAGGGTTTCAGAGAGAGAGAGAGAGAGAGGGGGGGAGAGAGACTTTCAGAAACTCAAAAAATGCGAAATCGGTCGGAGAGAGCGAGGCTGCGGCCAGAGGAGGTCGGATCCAAACACGGCGAGTGAGGTTTTGCCAGGGGAGGTCAGATCGCGACATATCGCGACACGGCCCGCCATGTTGAACAAATCTGAAAATGTCACAAGTTTAAAATTTGAGTCAAATTTCTCTGATATATGTTTAGGGACTTTAGACATCAAAAAATAATTTTGTGGATCTCTTCCATTACGAAAAGTAGGGGAGGGACCCTAGGCCAATTTTCCCAATAAAAAATTGTGATCCAATAGTTCATGTTATGAGTGTAAATTTAAGGGTCATATTTTACGGGTCTTAAGCATTTTTTACTTTCTATTTATTAGATTATATTAATCAAAAAAATAGTTTAAAACATTGTTCAAATTGATTTAATTAAGATCTAATTAATAATTCAAAGCTTAAAAAAAAATTTATTAGATATACTTATTTTTCTTTTCATAAAATACTTCTTTTACAAACACTTGTATAAGATTTGTTTTTTCCAATTACTAATGTATAAAAATTAGCTCAATATTTTTTATGCACGTACGTTGGCACAAAATTGCTGATTTCCCCTTTGTCTTTAAATTGAAAGCATTTCATGACAAATACAATTAAAGAATGTGTCTTGCGTCATTGAATATAGAAGTTATTTGGTGATTTTAGGAGCTAAAAATCTCATTAGAGATTTGGTATTGATATCTAATCTTATGGAATTGAAGGTAGAAATATTATTTTGTCCTTTATTTTATAAAAATAGTTTAATATAAAAATAATTTTTAATATTAAAATAAAATAGTATAATAATATATTTATACCAAAAAAATATATATCAACATAAAATAATATAGTACTAAAATATAATTTTTAATATTAAATATATCAAAAACACTAAAGATATTTATAAAATTTCATATAATTAATATACATTCTTACTAATCTGATAATTATTAAACAAATAATTTGTTTTTTAAAAGGGGGATGCACCAATAAATCCCAAATTAATAACTTATGCACTGTTTAGTCCTAAAAGTTTTCTTATAGACTGAAAGGTCCCATTACAATGTTAATAACGTCAGATACAATGTTAATAACATCAGAGTCATGTTACAAACATTGGATTTCAAATATCTAATGTTCATCAAATTTCAATAATGTTTGAAAATATAGGATGAAAAACATCTAATGTTCATCAGATTTCAATAAATTTTGAATTTATAGAATGAAACATCAGATCATTTATATCATTCACATCATGTTGATGTAAAAATGAAACTAAATAAAGCATAAAAATTTTTTTAAAACTAAATGGTTCAACGTTTTAAAAACTAGGATTTATGAGTAAATTTTCCTTTTTAAAAATTCCTTCACCAACATTCTCACCTAATAACCCTTGAAAGTGTTGCGCCGCTCGCTTTCGACAATTCAATTCACACTCCAAACATAAAGCGGAAACCCACGTGTTCTTCAACGTAGATTATTGGTTGGCTTTCAGAAGCCACAAGCTTTTACCCTTCTATTTTCGCGACCTTTTTATTTTTTTGTCTATACTATCTATATCTATATTATTATTATTATTAAAAAGTAAACAACTCATTTAGTTTTTATGAATTTTTTTTTCCTTTTTTTTGTCAAGTAGTCATTTTTCCTTGCGCCAAATGTCAATTTTTTTTTTTTTTTTCCTTTTTTTTGTCAAGTAGTCATTTTTCCTTTCTCCAAATGTCAAATTTTTTTTTTTATAAAAAGAAAAATGGAGAGGGGCACAAAACTTGAACTTATAATGAATAGTTTCACTAATTAAACAACATAGAAGATATGTTTTTAATTTAAAATTAAAATATATATTTTAAGCACACTCATCTGATGGGCTCATACCCTAATTATATATATACATTATTTTTTCTCTTAAAGCTTGAATAAGGGAGGAGATCTGTGTTGTGTTGGTCGTATCATATCATATCATATCATCTTGGGTCATTTCAGAATTCTTTCAATATTAACTCAATTAGTTTGTTTGTTTTTATTTTTATTTTTAATATTATCATGTTGTGTCATTTTGAGTTCATATCCGATTCCTATTGTGTGAAAAAAATGCATCATGTCAAAAATAAATAAATTAATTAATACACATCAATTTTCTGTGGTACGTGAATTTGATACTAATTTGACTTGTTTATTTATCTTCCCTGTGCAAATTTGACACTAATTTGATAAGATGTTGAAAAAAACGACTATTCCTAACCTACTAACTTTGTTGTATGATCTAATGTGGTCTTCTTCTCTCATCTTTATCTCTTCTAATTCTACATCATTAGTGGTGGAATTGAAAGGCCAAAATTAGGAGGATGAATAATTTTTCTTTTAAATGCCTTGCTTTCTCAAAATAAAGAAGAAATGATTAGACTTGATGTCGGATAAACTTGAATAATACATATATTCTTGGGTTAATTACACTTAGCACCCATGTATTTTCATCAAAATTTTACTTTAGTCTCTTCACTTTCAATTGTAGCAGTCAATTTCTTATACTTTAAGTCAAGTTGTAATGTCACTCTTTTATCACAAAACTTGTCTTCTGAAACTATGTGACATTTTTCTCGTCTTATTAGTACCTTTACACTTTTATTAAAATTTTATTTTATTCCCTTCACTTTTACCATAGTTCTTTATAATTTAACTTATAGTATAAGAAATTTACTGCTATAATTAAAGACGAAGAGATTAAAATAAAATTTTAATAAAAATACAAGAGTTGTCCAGTGTAATTTGTCCTACATTCTCACACTATTCATTTGGTGGGTAATATTGTCAGCATAGATCGCTTTCATCCTCGTTCAAGTCTAGCTCTAATCGTTAGTGGAAGAAAACTTTTTATTGGATTGGTCAAGTGTTTATTTATTTTTTGGTTGGCTAGAATATGAAATTCATTCATACGTACGGTCATACCAACCAAATAGATAAAACAGATTTTTTATTTTATTTTATTTTTTGGGCCTAGTCAAACAAGAACAAATATTTAGGGTGACTTTGGTATTCAACGAAAAAAAAGTCTTATTTATATATATATATATATTTGTTTTGTTTTTAGTGTTTTTTTTTTCCCAAAATTATTTGAAGTTTTTTTTACTTTTCAGGTTGAATCGGTTTTGTATAGACAAATTTAAAAAGTAAAAATATATATATATATATATATTTAAAAACAAAAAAAAGTAAATTATTTATTATTTTTTTTGGTTGTTTCTAAATTTTATTTTTATTTTTATTTAACTTTGACGGGAAAAAACCCACAAAAAAGCCATCAAAAGATCAGCACCAGAAACCCATTTAATTCAACTGTCGCACCACCATTTTCCGCAATGCCATCCTAATAAATAAAATCAAATCAAAAAAACTGAGATAAGTGAGCAACTTTTGGTGCACATTAAATTATGTTCGGTGTGTTATTTTTTGCAGGACCCATATAATTATTGGTGTTTGCATATATTTGGATTAGAGTTATTCACTAAAAACATTGGATTAGAGTGTAGAATTTGAAATCTATTATGAGTCTATTAATCGTATGAGATTACGATATTTTGGATTTGCATGTAAATAAGGAACTTATGAGAATTACCAGAGACACTAGGTGTGGCTTTGGGGCTTTGTTACTTTTGGTGCACATTAAATTATGTTGGGCGTGTTTTATTTTTTGCTGGGACCAATAATTATTGGTGTTTACATATATTTGGATTAGAGTTATTCACTAACAAAAATATATATTTGGATTAGAGTGTAGAGTTTGAAATTTATTATGAGTCCATTATGTGTAGGTTCTATTAATCGTATGAGATTACGATATCTTGGATTTGCCTATAAATAAATAACTTATGAGAATTGCTGGAGACACCAGGTGTGAGTAGGTGTGGCTTCGAGGCGACTTTGTTGAGTGTGAGCAGGTGTGTTTTAAGACACTGGGTGTGAGCAAGTGTGGCTTCAAAGCTTTGTTACTTTTGATGCACATTAAATTATGTTGGGTGTGTTTTATTTTTTTGCGGGACTTATATAATTATTAGTGTTTGCATATATTTGCATTAGAGTTAATCACTAAAAAAAAAAACAAAAAAATTGGATTAGAGTGTGGAGTTTGAAATCTATTATAAGTCCATTATGTGTAGGTTCTATTAATCGTATGAGATTACGATATCTTGGATTTGCCTATAAATAAGGGACTTATGAGAATTACACCGGAGACACTAGGTGTAGCTTCGAGGCTTTGTTGGGTGTGAGTAGGTGTGTTTTAAGACAAGAGGGTTTTGTTACTTTTGGTGCACATTAAATTATGTTGGGTGTGTTTTATATTTTGCGGGACCCATATAATTATTGGCGTTTTCATATATTTGAATTAGAGTTATTCATTAAAAAAAAAAAAAATTGGATTAGAGTGTAGAGTTTGAAATCTATTATGAGTCCATTATGTGTAGGTTCTATTAATCGTATGAGATTATGATATCTTGGATTTACCTATAAATAAGGAACTTATGAGAATTACTAGAGACACCAGGTGTGAGTAGGTGTGACTTCGGGGCTTTGTTCGGTGTGAGCAAGTGTGTTTTAAGACACCATGGCTTCAAGGCTTTGTTACTTTTGGTATACATTAAATTATATTGGGTGTGTTTTATTTTTTGCGGGACCAATATAATTATTGGTGTTTACATATATTTGGATTAGAGTTATTCACTAAAAAAAATATTTGGGTTAGAGTATAAAGTTTGAAATTTATTATGAGTCCATTATGTGTGGGTTCTATTAATTGTATGAGATTATGATATCTTGTATTTGCCTATAAATAAGGAACTTATGAGAATTACCGGAGACACCAGGTGTGAGCAGGTGTGACTTTGGGGCTCTGTTGCTCTTGATCGGGGAATGAATATTGTCTAGGGCTCGGATATTGGTGTCGAGTTTTTGGTCTCATGATTGTACTCTTTACAATTTATAATGGATCATCTCTCTCACTCGGAGATGAAGACAATTTGAGTTGAACTATGTATATCTCGTAGTGTGATTGTACTTTTTTCTTTGTTGGTACGTAAATGTGCTTCTATTTACATTGGTGAAATGTGGAATAAATCCCAACAAATTAACCATGTAATTAAATTATTGCAATGTTTGCATTCTTATTAATCGATGATACCTTAAATGTGAATAACAAATCACAATAATGTGAAGCCTTTGCAGGCACAGCCGTATATCTCTTCCCCAAAATGTGTTCCACATAACACAGATGATACCTTAAATGTGAATAACAAATCACCATAATGAAGCCTTTGCAGGCACGGCTGTATATCTCTTCCCCAAAATGTGTTCCACATAACACGACTAGGTAAAAGTGGGAATTTTTGACACGACATAATAACACGATTTGAATCGTACACAAAGTTAGTATACAAAGTTAACAGTTTAAGATTGACTATTTTTTAACACGAACATATGTATGATACGACTTAATAATACGAATATTGAACATGTCAAATTAGTGTTCAACCTACCTAACATAAAGGTGACACGGATAACCTAGTTATTGAAAAATTAAAATATTTTAATATTATTGTCACCAAGGGTGTCATAAAATTTTTATAGGTAGAACTATATTGACCCATCTGTGCTAGGTAGTTGAGAAACAATAATGACTTACCTAATGTGTTTTACAATTTTTCATTTATCAAAAATACCACATAATAATGTTACACAATAGTCTCAACCTACTTTAAGACCTTGTTTGATTAGAAAGATTGATAGTAAGGGAATTAACAATTTATGAAATTAGTGTCAAATTGATTATATAACTGAATTAGTGGAATATACAACAAAAATATACAATTCCAATTATATTTTTTGATTGACATTATTATTTGTAGGAACCAAGTGGTTATGGCCTGGCTAGTGGAAAGAAAAAGCCATAAGATCTTCCTTTGTGGCGATAATGCTAAACTGTAAAGTTCTCTCGGTTTTCTTATCTTGATCCTTGCAGGCTTTATTTTATTTTTTTTAAGCGTCTTTATCTAAAATATGGGCCTTTTTAGCTTTATCTTGATCCTTATAGGCCTCTTGAATCCTCTTTTTTCCTATTTCTTTTTTTGGCTTGGTGTTTATGCCTAATGTGACTTTACTATTATTATTGATAGGAATTCTCTTGTTAAAACCCTATGAATCAATTAAAACCCTATGAATTCAATTAAAACCTCATATTCATACTAGAACCACATGATTCAATAAAACCCAATTTAAGTCCAAGAATTCTTTGAGTAAGAACCTTTTGAGATGCTAATATAACCAACTAATCACTAACTTTCACTAATTAAAAAAACATTATTAGTTGTAAAATTAAAAAATTTCCCAATTTTGTTAGATAGAATACCTATTAAAATCTACATTATAACATATAAAAGTTTTAGAGACTAAGGCCCCGTTTGGGAACAGACTAATTTAGTAACTTTTTGACTATATGGCTAAAATATGAGCTAAAAAAAACTAGTATGTTTGGGATGGCTTTTTAGCTTTTTACGAAAAGATGCGCAAAAAGTAGAGAGAAAAGAGAATTTTTGACTTTTTGGTATGGGTTGTTGGCTTTTTGGCTAATTTAGTAACTTTTTGACTTTTTGGCTAAAAAATTCGGTTGCCAAACGAGGCCTAAGTGCTTGTTTGGGATTATCTATAATAGACAAAAAGTCAAAAAGTTATTAAAAAGTAAAAAAGTTAATACTATTCAATAATCAAAAAAGTTAGCCTAGACAGAGGGCAAAAAGACTAAAAAGCCCTTACTGACATACACAGAAATTTAAAAAAAAAAAAAACAAAAAAACAATGCAGCAGTCAGCAGCACAGTGCACTGACACAGCACAGTGCACTGATGCAACACAGTGCAGGTTAGTGCTCGAAAGGGCACTTCTACATTATAACATATAAAAGTTTTAGAGACTAAGTGCTTGTTTCGGATTATCTATAATAGACAAAAAGCAAAAAGTTATTAAAAAGTAAAAAAGTTAATATTATTCAATAATCAAAAAAGTTAGCCTAGACAGAGGGCAAAAAGACTAAAAAGCCCTTACTGACATACACAGAAATTTAAAAAAAAAAAAACAAAAAAACAATGCAGCAGTCAGCAGCACAGTGCACTGACACAGCACAGTGCACTGATGCAACACAGTGCAGGTTAGTGCTCGAAAGGGCACTTCGGTAATTTTGCTAGTTCATACAATATTTTAATACACATTTTTTCGTAAAAAGTCAAAAAGTTATCCCAAATATACATCTTTTTTTCCTTAACTTTTTAAGTCAAAAAGTCAAAAAGTGCACTTATGTAGTTCATCCCAAACAACTCCTAAATTTTTTGATCTCTAAAAGTAAAAATTTTGTTACAAAAGACATTTAGGAACTAATTTCTATCATCGTGAGAGTAGTGGCTAAAAGGTTGTCCCGAAAAGTAAAAAACAAGACTTTTAGCGATTTTAGCGGCAAATTTTTTAAAATATCACTAATAAAGAGAATTTTAAGAACAGAATAATTTGGTCTCAAAATAATTTATTATTTTAGACAAAAAATTTGATTATGAAAAGATAATAATTTATCACTAATGTCCAATTTTCATTACTAAAAATATAATGACGACAACACTTTTTATAACAAAAATATTTAGTTCCTAAAAAATAATTTTATTTTTAAATTTTGATCTCTAAAATTTTAATTTTTTATAGTGCTAATACCCAAATAAAAATCTTATAAATTAATAATTTCAACGTGCGCCTAATCAAAGAGGCGAAGTGTCTTGTGTTTGCTTTCTAAAGATGACCCCAACATATGTAAAGGAGACTTGGCAGCAATGAGTTTGTGAGAATAAATTTGTTCACACTTCTATGATTATTTAATTTATACTCATCAAGAATTAAGAACTAATTTTTCTCACTGTGTGTAACTTTTGGAACCCATTAGTCCCGTCAAGTACTATTCTTCTTTGTTCTCTCTTCTTCTTCACCCTTTACTATTTCCCTCTTCAAGCAAATTCACTAAGCTTCAACTTCACGAAGATTGATAAAAAGTGTGAAAATATCGACATAATAGCTGATCCACCTGCTTATGTCAACGAAGATGGCATCCATGTCACCCCAAATGATGGGGGCTTGAACCAATTGCAAAAAGCTGGTCGAGCCATGCATAAAGATCCTCTTGTGAAAAATAATGTAAGATCAAGGCAATTCTATTCGACTTTGCAAATCGATAAGAAGAGGATGGGTGAAAACAACAAAAAGGCACTGGGGGTGGTTGTCGGCTCATTTATTTTGGTTATTAGTGTGTTAGCTTTGCTTGGATTTGTCTTGTGGAACAAAAGTAGTAATAAAGCAGCAAAAAAAGAAGATGAGCTTGCTATTGAATTATCCGGGGACAATGAATTCGAGGTAGGTACCGGACCAAAGAAGTTTTCATATGGTGAATTAATTCGCGCAACAAACTACTTTGCGGAGGAACAAAAGCTTGGAGAGGGAGGATTTGGTGGGATTTATAGAGGTTTCTTGAGGGAATCCAACCTCCACGTCGCTGTGAAGAGAATATCTAAGGAATCAAAACAAGGAATAAAGGAGTACTTATCAAAAGTGAAGATCATTAGTCGGTTGAGGCATAGAAATTTGGTCCAACTACTTGGTTGGTGTCATGAAAAAAGAGAATTCTTACTTGTTTATGAGGTCATGGAATATGGAAGCTTAGATTATCATCTCTTCAAAAAAAAAAGTTTCTTGACATGGGCAATAAGATACAAAATTGCTAAAGGCTTGGCCTCAGCATTGCTCTATCTACACGAAGAATGTGAACAATGTATAGTGCACAGAGATATAAAATCAAGCAATGTCAGGTTGGATTCAAATTTCAATCCTAAACTTGGGGATTTTGGATTAGCCAGGCTTGTTGACCACGATAAAGGGTCACAAACAACAATTTTGGCAGGAACAATAGGTTACATGGCACCAGAATGCCTAGTTACAGGCAAAGCCAATAAGGAATCAGACGTCTTTAGTTTTGGAGTTGTGGCACTGGAAATAGCATGTGGAAGAAAACCCATTAGCTTGAAGGTCCCAAAGAGTCAGATGAGAATGATAGACTGGGTTTGGGACCTCTATGGTACTAGTAGGCTTCTTGAGGCGTTAGATTCGAAGATATGTGCTGATTTCGTTCAAGAAGAAGTGGAATGCTTGATGATTGTTGGGCTTTGGTGTGCTCACCCAGATCACAATCTCCGACCTTCAATTAGGCAAGCAATTCATGTGCTTAATTTTGAAGCTCCATTGCCCATTCTCCCTACCAAAATGCCTGTGCCAACATACTTTGCTCCTTCGATGACTAGTTCTTCATCTTTGGCTGCTTTAACAAATGGCTCCACCGCAACTTCTGATCCATCTGCATCGTATTTGTATACATCATCAATAAGTTGATTCATATAGTTTCTAGTACAATATTTTAATGTATTCGAGTTGAGTACTAGCATATTTTAATGTTTTCTTTTCTTTTTTTATCGGCAAATGTTAGTTGTTAATTGTTAGATTAGCATCTATAGGAGAATATCTCTCCACACTAAAGTGCTTGCACTCTCTTAATTCAACTCCCTTAAGGGGAATTAAACCCATAGCCTCTTTGGGACTAAGCCCTAAGAAAGGCATGGTGGCTAACTAAGTTAGGCGTAGTTGATTGCATATTTTAATGCATTATTGTACCCATGTATTCCAGTGTTTATTTTGGATTTATTATAGAAACAACCATTTATATAAAGTTATTGTAATATTAATATACACAAACTTCAACAAATTTATCATTGTAAACATAATCCGCAGCGAGATATATATATATATATATATATAATATCTTTGTTCATGATTATCAAATGTTAAATATGTTTTGGAGTTTACAACCGTGGAAACAATATAACGAGTTGATAAGAACTTAATAATGAAATGAAAATATATTGTATAATGGTGCATTTATGCTCACTAACGTTATGTTTGGATTGAGTAATTTGGAGAGAAAAGAAAAGAAATGGAGTGATATGTATTTCTCTCACTTGTTTGGATAACTTAAGTAGAGAGAAATTGGAAGAAATGAAGAGAAACAGGGAGAAATTCATTTCTCTTAGAAATGAAGAGATTGGGAGAGAAAAGAAACTAATATTTTCATAATATCAATTTTGTCCCTATAAAAATAAAAGAAATAAAATGATTGAAAATATACAAATGTTATTTTGATAATATAACATAAAATAATTTATTTTCTTTTCTCTTATAGAATCTAACCAAACAAGAAGGAGAGAAATTATAATCATTTCTTTTCTTTTATTTGTTACTTATCCAAACAAGAAAGAGAGAAATCACAATCTTTTTTTTTTTCTTCTTTTCTCTTATAACTTAAGTAATAATTTCTTTTCTTTTCTCACATAAATTCCCAATCATAGTGTAAGAGCTTAATCCACAAGGACTAAAAGTAAAAATTCAAAACTCTTTTGAGTTTCAAAACCATTAATGAATAATAGTTTTTTTTTTCAACTTTTTAAATTTTCATTTTGATGAAGGATTCGATAAATTTTCAATTTGATTAAAAAAATATCTTGATTTGATAGACATTTTTAATGAATGAATTGAAGATGATTTTGAACACTTTTTTATTTGATAAAAAAAAAAGGGGATTAAAAATTGGAGATGCCTTAGCAGGGAGTAATTTATTTTATTTTTTTTTTGGGAAATTACAAAAATAAAAAATTCAATGAATAAATCATGAGTTTTTAATTTTGTCAATTTAAATATTAAATCTTGAATTTATTTTCAATATAAATCTTTTTATTTTAATCACTATACTCAATATAGGTGTACATAAATATCTAAAATACTCATTTTTTCATTGAGCTTACTAACAAAAATGCCTTTTTTTGTCAGCATTACTTAATAAAATTAGCCAAATATTTTAGATTGAAAACAAATAAAAAATTAGAGTTTAAATTTATAAAATAAAAATTTTATTTATTTATAAAGCTCACACCTGAAATTCTTTTGGGAAAATTACAAAAGAAGAAGAAGAAGAAGGATTTAACTATTGTAACAAAATACATTTAAGTTTTTAATTTTATCAATTTAAAATCTAATCTTCTGATTTATTTTCAGTTTAAATCATCTAGCTATTTTTATTAAGTTAAATTGACTAAAAAAGAATATTTAGTTGTTAAACTAAATGATTTTTTCTATAGACATTTTATGTACACAAGTGTAATGATTAAAATACTATTTTTTGGTCAATTTTACTTAACAAAAATAGTAAAATAATTTAAATTGAGAAAAAAAATTAGACTTCAAATTGAAAAAATTAAAAAAGTAATTTTATTACAAGCGTCAAATTTATTTATTTATTTAGGGTGTCATTTTGCCGTTATATTTTTTAAAATATAAAGAAATTTTACTGACAATCCTACTAAAGAAATGTCTAGAGACCCACCGTTATCTACCCAAAAAATTCTAAGTGGGTGATTGTATGGTAGAGATTAATTTGTGTAGTGTGAGGTTCATGTGGGGTTCATGTATATAATAAATTTGAATTACAAGATAAAAATTTTAGGTAATTTCTGGGTTGATAAGTATAGCGATCCCGGTTATCCCTTTACTGTTCTGTTGTTTTCAGGACGCGGTTCCGTGGAGTTGGTAGTTGTACCTATCATGTCGTCAACCTTTAAACTCTTTTGTTTGAGTTTTAGAATGTGTTGGGCTCGGTTGTTTCAGGTTGGTAGAGCTTTAGCTCCCATTGTTGTTGCCTAGTTTTTTTTTGACGGTTCGCTCGAGTGGGTCTTCCTGCGCTCAAGCGGGGTTTTCACAGTTTCAGTGTTTCGTGCCTCTGCAAAACTTCTGCAGATGTGTTTTCTACGCTCGAGCGGGTTTCTTGTGCTCGAGCGGGTCGCGCTCGAGCGGACTTGTTAGCACTCGAGCGAGTGGTACTTTTTGGTGTAAGTTATGGGAGGGAGAAATCTACGCTCGAGCGGACTGGTTTTCGCGCTCGAGCGGATGTACTTTATTCTTGTGTCTTGGCGCTCGAGCGGGACTTCTTGCGCTCGAGCGTACCTAGCTTTTTGTCCTTGACGCTCGAGCGTTGTGTTCTCCGCTCGAGCGGGAGAGTCGTATATCAGTTGACAGCTAGGCTATTTTAAATCACTTTTTACATCCACACTCTCTCTCTTACTTTTCTAAAACCCATTTTTGAGAGCTCCTCTCTCTAGAATCTCCCTTCTCTCTAGGGTTTGATCTAGCTAGGGTGTTCTCCTTACCTTTGGTCTTTTTAAAAGTTGGGTTGATCGTCGAGGGCTATCTTTTGATCCGAATATATTGAGCTTTGGAGCACGTTGAGTTTCTTCGCCTTCTCCGTTGAGTGCCATCTTTTGAGGTAGGGATATCCTACTCCTCTTTATGAATTTTGTCTTTAAATTTTAGCATTTTGATATGTTGGGTGTTGTTGGGTAGATTTAAGAAAGTTTGGGCCTTTTGCGTAATTTTACAAGAGTGGGTTTTGTTTGAAATAAACCTATATGTAAGTTTGGTGTAAAAATGAGTTGGATGATGGGTTGTGGAAGAAAATGGAACCTTAAAGTTGTTTTGTTAATTAAGGTAATTTGCCCTAATTGTTTTAATTAATTAATGCATATAATTAATTAAAGGAAATGAAGAATTAAATTGGAAATGTTGAAAATAAGAATGTATGAGACTAAAGGGGTGTAGTTAGATCATTTATTGCGCACCCAATTGAAATGTTGATATATTATCCATTTGTGCATTTATTTCCTGTTTAGAAATAATTCCTTTGGACTACCGGTGGAGGGTAGCATTGATTGTTGTAGACAATTCATGATGATTAGGCAAACTAAAACTAATCAATCGGATGTGTCATAGGGTATGACGGTTGATGGAATACATTAACTTTATGTGTTGATTGATTGTGTATATGACCAACGTGTTTATATGCATTAAGTGTAGACGGTTGATAGAATACATTAACTTTATGTATTGATTGATTACGTATATGATTCTGTGTCTATATGCATTGCTTGTGTATGGGAGGAGATGGGGGATGTACTCCACGGTTTAGGGGAAAATGGGGGATGTACCTCTAAACCGGTTAATGGTTAAGGGAAGATGGGGGATGGACCCAGGGTTGTAGCTCATATGCTCTCCCATTGTAATGAAGATACAGCTCATATGCTTATCTATTGAAGTGTTGATATAGCTCATATGCTTATCTGTTGAAATGTTGATATAGCTCATATGCTTATCTGTTGAAATGTTGATATAACTCATATGCTTATCTGTGGTAGTGTGATATGGCCTATGTGCTTATCCATTGAAATGTTCGTTTGATTTGATATAGCACTAAAATGTATATCATCATCGTTTGTGATGTATGGAAGTGGTCTATGTGTTATTGGTACAATACCAAAATGTGTATCCATCTTGAATTTCGAAGGTGTGCTAGTGATGAACTATAATCTCATCAAATGTTTTGGCCAGAGTACTGGGTCTTGTTTTCAAACTCAAAGTTGAAAAAGAAATGGAAATTGAAGTGTAACGTAGACTCGACTGTCATGGAATTGTAATAAGATGTAAATGGAAGTGTAAGCATTGACCATCTATCAGTTGTTAATCTTTTAGGCATTGTTCATAGTCGGTTTAGTATATTTCTACTGGGTTGTGGCTCACCCTGTATGGGAACATCATTTTCAGGTACAGGTAGTATGCCACCTCTGAGGGCATAGCTTGGGAGACTAGAGGCAAACATACTTTTGTTGCCTTATTTTCCTTGATTGTATTACATGTGGATTCAAGCCAAGGACTTAATGTGTAATTAAGTTAGCACTCTCTTTTGTAAACAAGTGTTAACTTGGAAAGCTATAAGCCCGTAGGGCATTTGCTTTTGTTGTAAACATGTAATACTTTTGTAATGAAATACTCTGATGAATAGATGGATGTGGACCTTTTATGTATCAATACATGTCTCTATATGGATGGGTTTAATGTTATTATTTTGAGGGCGTGAAAATAAGGGTGGGTTCGTAATATTACTAATCCTACTAAAACCATTCATATTCAAATATCATTGGCGATTTAAATTATTATTTTGATAACGATCATGTTTGATCATTTGTATTTTTAATGAGATTTTTAATAAAATAGTGAACGTGTAAAATTATTATTTTTTTAATTGCTTCGATTCTCTTCAATTCACGTTTGGATTTCACCAAAATTTATATTAAATGTTTTACCTAATGTCATTTGGTAGAAATTTTAGAACTTCTACAATTTTTCTATTTTAATCTCTTCTTATGAGAGAGAGAGAGAGAGAGAGAGAGAGAGAGAGAGAGTTATTAATGGCCTTTTTTTGCAGAGGTCTTTTTCATCATCAAACTCACGAAGCAGGCACGCTCTCTAGGTTTGATTTTCATGAAAAATTTTTTGGAGAAAAAAAATTAAAAAAAATTGA